AGATGTGTATCGCCCAATGCACTTTGGGGTTCATTACACTTCTCTCCGTCTGGGATGGGGATGTTCTCGGTGCTCGTCAAAACAGCCTCACCACCATCGGGTTCCACTTTGAATGTCTGTTCCACGACTGGGAGCGCCGCCAGAGGAACGGGTTCTATTTCGGTTTCCAGTGCTTCTCTTAGTAGTGAGAAGGGCTTTGGCTGAATAAAACGTACAGTCCCTTGCAGCATACGGATTCCCGTGGACTTGACGGTCATAAACCCCCTTCTGTTGGTCTTGTCTTCGGTCGGCGCGTTCTCGAACGTGCTGAAGGGCTTGCTGAAGACGTCGTTTTAAGCCTCGGGTATATACAAGCGTGGTATCTTCGGAGGTTGGCAACGATGATACAGTTATCTCTCAGGGTAAACGTTAATCGCGTCCCAGAGTCAAGAACGCCGGAGTGTGGCCATTGGTGCTATGTTAAGAAGCTCAATATGCGAGCATTCATAGCGGAAGCTTTTCGTCCCAGCGATCTGCATCACGGTTTCACAGAAACCTTGGAGGATGCTCTTAATAGTTCAATTGGTGCGCTTCTTTACATCCAAGAAACGGGACACTTCACGCAACAGTTGGATTTCAAACGTCGCGCCTTGTTAAGAGTGCAGGAACTGCGGGCACATCTGGACTCACCCTTTCATGGACAAATGGTTTCGCGACCGTCAACGCGTCCTGGAACCGAATGGTAACAGCCTTAGCCCATTTCGTGAAATAGTCAATCATGACTAATATATATCGGTTCCCCTCACGGGTTGTCGGTAAAGAGCCCATTATATCACTTACGACTCGTTGCTCGGGGTGCATAACGTTCATGGGATCCAGGGATGCTTTAGGTGCTGGGACTTTGTATTTAATCCTCGCCACAGTTTTGCATATGTTACACACTTTACAAACATCATTAATAGCAATAATAATAAAGGTATACTTCACGAAGGCCCGTGAAGCTTGCGTAAGCATGATCATATATACAACACAACCATAAGTACAAGAGGAGCTCAAAGATTTAAGATCCTATTGCACAGAGTGGACGAAGTAGTTAAATGGATCAGCCGCTGTAACTCCCAAAAAGATCAACGAGCAACGCGTAGCCGAAATTGGATCCCAAAAAGTCAACAAAACGAACCGACCGGCAAATTAAACGATCGAATAAGCAAATAAAAACTGTACAAACCTCAAAGTGATCTCAAAACAACATGATCGAATAAGCAAATAAAATCTGTACAAACCTCAAAGTGATCTCGAAACAACTTGAAAAGCCCAAAGCGTCAACAAAACGAACGATCCGGCAAATTTCTACGGCACTGCATTAATAAGCGCAATAAGCAAATAAAAACTGTACAAACCTCAAAGTGATCTCGAAACAACTTGAAAACAAGAACCCAGTGTTACTGTGAGCGTAATTCAACAAATCTGAATGGAAGAAAATGAGTCTGGGTAAGAATAGCACGCTCATCGTCACGCTGCACACGAACGAGCCAAATGTGAGCGCTCAAGTCGCGATTAAAACAAGTAGGATAAAAATTGAAGCAGATAAACAAACAAAGTCAAATGGTAGGATTGATGTGTAAATATACAAGGGGAGTGGAACATCAAATGTCTATATTTATGTGAGGCGGATGGTGTTTGGTGAATGGAACGTAAAATTCACGAAAGGTGGAACCGAGATGAAATGACTGGGCTTCACAGGAAGGATTTTTACAGATCGATCAATACAGCCGCTCTAGTACCCCCCGTGAAAGCCCACCACGTTTTGTGTAGTCACTCGATAACTGCCCCATGAAGAGCAAGATTGTTATTGGAAAACATTTATTCGTGAAAATAACTTAAGCGAATTTTATGAGGCGTAAATAACAATGCAGCATATACTAGCACAGAAATATCCCCGAACGCATCAATACCGAGAGCCATGGGGTCGATAAAGTTTCTTGTGACAAACGAGAAAATTACTTTTGTACCCCAGACTGATTCCAAAAGCCAACTGTCCTTAATAGCTGACAAGAAGGAATAACTGATTATGCCATTCTCGGTGATGCATACAGAAGTGCCTTTGAGTATGTCTAAACACAAAGTGGGGAAACATCCCCAACAATAAACAATGACTAGTGCACTACGATGTCTATAGACAGAAATACGCACAGGTGTAAATACTAGTGATATGAATGTACTTCCCAAATTTACAAGAAATGTCGTTCTGTGAAACGGTAGGGAACACAACTGACGATAGTGTATCCTCACAATTGGACACAGGTCAAATCTAACGACGAATCGGTCGTCCGTTTATGTAATGTATTAGGCATCAAATAATTTTTCATTCACATTCATCTTTAGAGAAAATATATGATTACAAAGATTCGCATCTTTGATAAAAGAACTGGGTCGCACAGAAAAAAGAATGCCTCAATTGGCAACCATTGAAACTCAGTCAGAACTATCTTACTCGGTCATTTCAGGCGAATGAATAAATAAATCAATGAATACCACCAGATATCTGAAACAATCAATGTCTATAGGGACATCCTCGTCCCTCTGTAAACAGTAGGAGCACACGTTTCGGGTTTTCTCTTTATTGGTCTGCAATCGTTTCCGTGAACAGGTATTATATGTCAGGTAAAAACCCAACTCATCATCAAAAAGGCCCCGGTACACAACACAAAGAAGACACATACGCCAGGCCACAGACGGTTAACACGATAAAGGGATTGATAACTACCGGGTTAACACAGTGTGTCAAGCTACCTACTGCAGGCTTCGGGAGTTCACTCGTTAAATACAGACAAAGAAGTGCGTTTATTCAAGATATTCCAATTCACCACAAACTGACCGACTGGTACGATTTTCCAAAGGGAGCCTTATTTGCGTAGTGAAACAGTTTTGGACCATCGAGGACAGCAAATCATTTACCAACGGTATGACATCACCCAAACTTGCTAACAACCAAGAAGTTCAAATATAAATAAGCTAAACACATAAGTATACATCATCAAGAAGATTAAAGAACCACCATGAAGGGCACTCGAAAATCTCAACAATTTCAGTTTCGGTACCACATATGCAAAGATGATAATATCATGAACCCATGAAGCACAATAAGCCTATATTATCCAAATTAAAACTGGTGTAACATTGATATCTGCTCAACGGAGTTAAGAAAAGGCATAGGCAAAAGCGCTAGACTTCAGGTTTCCTAGCAACCTGAGTTATTCACTAATGACGACCATCACCAGCAAAAATAAATTAACAAATAAATAATTAAAGTGTCATTGGATAAACGGTAAGTTTCTACGAAGGATAAACACAAGTGCTTTGTCGTGAGATCTGTCTTGGGTATGTAAGCGGATCGAGACAATACAAACCTAACTGCCCCCTCCAAATGGCAGAGCTTTCTCACATTTCGTTCTACTACATTCTTCTGTTTGTTTTGGATGTCCCCCCAATACTGGAGGATATTTTTTCGTCGTGAAGAACGGCTGCACCCTCTTTACAGTTCGCATATTATGGACCCAGAAATGATGCCAACCAAAAGCAAACAAAAACATTCTGCACCTTTCCTCTGCTGATCTCCTGAGATAATAAAAACGGCTCTTAGGTGGAACTACGCAAACGATACTGATATGTCCTGAGCCACTAATGATTACAACTCTTCGGAAGGAAAAAGAAGTCCGTCGTGAGGAACGGAAAGGACCTCCGTGGAGTCTGCATCTATCCCTACCTGTGAAAAAGAACACAAACAAAGAAACATTTAGATTCGTTATCTTGGGGAGTCGCATATGACAAACCTGAATATTTACACTTATGCTCCAGGTCAGAGAAAGATGCATGGTAGTGCATTTCTTATAGCCTTTTTTTAAACCCTCTATCTCTTTGGCAATGGGACATAATTTGATAATATAGAGATAATNATAATTTGATAATATAGAGATAATTTTAATGGTTGTAAAGTAGTCGATGAACCTATAGCAGTTATATTGCTTTCTGCAGAAGGCTATTTTCTGCATTTCCGCTAAAAATATAAACACTTTACATATCATCAGGCCAAGCAGACATTACCAGTTGGTATCACGTCAGCCAAAGACCATTGCTCTGCTGCCACATTGTGGGTAAACTGGTTTCTTGGCATCGAAGAGGAAGAAGAGGGTTCACAAGACGTTTATTACGGATTAGGTTATACCCCAAACCACTTGAAATCTTTTCCTCTATTATTTTAATTTTATTTCAATGAATAACTTGCGCACTTATATAACCCATCTTCACAGGATAAACTGAAGAACACCAACACACCCCCAACAGAGGAAGCTAAGTGGCGACGTCTCCTAGGGTTTGGTAAGGTGGGACGAACCCTAAATCATACGGTGAACAGGTGCAAATGGTAGCGCTTGCTCGCTGACCAGCCCTGATTACAAGGAGTGAGCCATTTTTATGGCTCACATGGTTTTCAGCAACAAACTTTTGTGCTGCCCTCTTACTACGACAACAATGAGAAACACCAATGGTAAACTACCATTCTAACCCTGCACGCAATACCATCGGGCTTTTTAGCCCCCCCTAGCTAAAGAGTGTTGCCTGAT